TCCTCACTCGTCTTTAAAAACTAGATTTGATGGGGTTATAAGTATTTGTTTTGCCAATATACTGTTATCAGAAACGTGGGACCAGATAGCTGTTCTTTTTGAGAGGAGACAAGTCGGCTATGAAAAAGACAAGTGTTATGGGGAAACAGAGAGTAGATAAAAGAGAAAATAGAAAGGAAATGTACTTGGCAAAGAAAGTAAAATATAAAGAATGATAAACAATGGACAAAAATACTGTATATAAATTCAAATGGGGTAAAAAGGAAATGTAAAAAATAGAGACACAAGGGATGAAACCCTCCGCTCTTCGTCCGTAGGACTTCTCACCGTCCTAAGCTCTCGCCTCAAAACCATGGGTGCTCGAGCTTTCAGCTGCTCGGCTCCCAGACTCTGGAACTCCCTGCCACTACACATCCGACAGTCTGATTCCATAACATCATTCAAAAACCATCTGTTCAAACTGGCATTTTCTTTATAAACTGTACCCTGTGTCCTTTTGTGTCCTTCTATAGTCCATTTCCTGTTGTTTGTCTTGTCTTACCCCGGCTGATACTTCACTAAATCCACTGTTTTAATTGTTCCCTATATTGACCCTATGCTCTGTAAGGTGTCCTTGGGTGTTATGAAAGGCGCCCCCCAAAATAAATGTATTATTATTAACAGTTTAGACAACAGCAAGAGCAAAAGAGAGATGAAGAGAAGGGCGGCAGGAGGAGAGGAGGAAATAAATGAGACATGGAAGAAGATGAGGGAAATAGAGGAAATGAAAACAGCAGGTTTCAGTGTCTGCATGTTTTCTGTGAGTCAGTGGCCGTTTCTCAATCTCGAGTAAACTGGCTTCCAAGCCAATATTTCAAGGACGCTACGTCATCGAGTGCCGCCGAAGGACTGTTCCAATCTCCAGCATACTTGGAATCCCACCGAGGCCGCGTCCTTGGTTTGGGGGTAATTTCGAGGCTGCACATGGGTAGACTTCGCATCCTTAAAATCCCCACAATGCTTTGCGCACGGACCAATTTCCCCAAATCTGTGGCGGAAAATGTAAGACGGGGCCTCTCATATGACGCACACCTGCACACTTGCTAGCCTGTTCCACTCTTTGTTTTCCGAATGCCAGGAAGGATTCTTGCCTCGCTTCTGAAGCAATGACTTGGAAGACATGTGCTACCAAGCAAGCTTCCTCGCGATTGAGAAACGGCCAGAGTCTCTGCCTGAATTAACTGCTCCGACAATACTGAGGTGAGCGTGGGCAAGGTAGAGCAAGAAGGAAATGAACANACCTTAAAAACACACCACCAGCTTCAGCCAATGGGTCCACCACTTTGAGCAAAGTCTTGGATAACATGGAGAAGGGAACATAGGTTTGAGATTAAAGGTGCCCCTATTATCTGTTTTTCATCAATATATTATAGGTCTCAGATAATATAAAACAAAAACAAATAGTACTAACTGAAGTATTTGAGGCCATCCGAAATACACCCACAAACAGATCAATAGCATTGTAGCAAAATCACCTACAAACCACCTCTGTTTCAGCCCTGTTTTCAAAAAGTGTGATTCTGTGGCCTGTTACTTTAGATGAAAATAAGGAGCTCACTCTTGAGAAGATATTTGGATTAAAAATACAACACAATGGTTGCTCTAGGCAGGAGATCAGGTGAATAAGGCTGTGTGGCGGGGGGGGTTTACCCTTGTTGGTTTTTGTTTATTATGGGCAATGGTTACAATAACCCAAAAAATCCGTTATGAACATCATAAAGTGGCTAAATCTGCTGCATCAGCGCCTAAATTCTTCAGACAGGTTGTCTATAGAAATGGATTCAGCGAACAAAAAGTGAGCAAATCTTTTTTCCTGAGACTTTCAGAATCTCTTTACACAGAGGGGACACATGTTTATGTAGAAAAGACATGAACAACTGGATTTTGCATAATAGGTGAAACAATAATAAATAAATCCATAAATGTACCTGGACACCAAAGAGGAAAGTTTTCTTCTTGATTAAAAGTTGATTACAGCAAACATTCAGACATATTTAAATCTTCAGGTATGCTTGGAGTCAAATAGAAATAGTTGTATTAATTATGATTATAGAAAGGAGAGAAGAGGAGGCTGTTCCTGCAAAGCCTCTCCGCAGCGGGGCTATAATTACACCAAATAGAATCTGGGTACTAATTAGCACCTCAGAAAAATACAACCGCACTCTAAAAAAGCATCTCATCAATTGTTTATCTTCTTCGTGTCGGCTGTGAGGTACCAAAACAAAACAGCATCGATTCATGCAACAGGGCATCAGTATTACTGTCGGCTAGCATGCTGCCACAGAGTGTTTGTGAAACATGAGCTATTTCTCATGGAGGGCCATTCAAAGGAGGCAGGGAAATAGGATGTTTTTTTTAGCCTTTCTGGAAATTGTTTATTCACCTTTGCAACGAGAAGCATCTTTAAACCGTGTCACTGCTTGGCGCAACTGAATACAACTGTTGTTGGATGGTTTGGTATTTAGAAGACTTAAAGGTTCCCTGTTATACTGTTTTTCATCAATATATTATAGGTCTCAGATATATACAAAAAATGTCTCTGAAGTGCTTTGCTCCAAACACCCAACAGATCATGCAGTGCAGCATCCCATAATCCCCTCTGTTTCAGCCCTGTTTCAAAAGTGCTGATTCTCTGTCTGTTACTTTAGATGGAAATAAAGAGCCACTCCCCACGCCCCTCTATGAGATATTTGGTTAAAAAGAACACAATGGTGCTCTAGGAGGAGATTTAGGTGATAAGGTGGGCGGGTGTTACTTTGGTTGGTTATTGGTTATTGGCTAATGGTTACAGAAGCCAAAAAATCCTTATGACATCATAAAGTGGGCACAATCTGATCAGCTCATTTTCAGACAGGTTTTTATATAAATGGATCAGGACAAAAAGAGAGAGAATCTTTTTTCCTGAAGCTTTCACAGTCTCTTTACGCAGAGGGGACACATGTTTATGTATAAAACAGATGAAAAAGTGGATTTTGCTTAATAGATGACCTTTAATACATGGAGCAAATGTACAAAAACAGAGCAATAATCCTTAATGATGTCTAGGAAAATATCTTCACAAAACAATAATTTCATTCGTAAATAAATCTGCATTGATGAATACATTAATATGCTGTCCACAGCTGCTTTGTACTGAATGCAAGCTTGCCCTTCACTTCATTAAATCCCTGCAGGCATGCGAAGCAGCAGCACAGATATATTGATCAATCTGCAGCCTCCCATTAGAGGGGTGCCATGCCAGAGTGCAGGCTGTACAGTGTCCTTGATTAAATCACATGATGCTAATGACCCCAGGCTGCTACAAAATAAACCCAGGCACAGTCTGCTATAACTCCTCTTTACAATCTGAATAAATAATAAAGTATCCTTCCTGTTTGTGACAGAGACAAATTACCAGGGTTCATTATTCCTGTCCACGTGCCTCTTTTGTAACTTCTTAAAAGATAAATGTTATTCTCTGTACAAAACATAAAGATGTGAATGCAAAATGTGTCACATTTTGAGATGTTTTGTTACAATTCACCATTGCCAGTTGAATAACGACTCAAATAGTGAGATTGTTGCAATCATAACAACTGCTTCACCACAGTATTTTATTATTTGATAACTATTATTATACTGATTCATTGTTAACAAATGCACCATCTCCCTTTTGTTGAAGATGCTTTGTGCAGCTCTGCTGATATGCTTTCTGATTCTTCATCTCTTATCTGTGTCTCTGCGATTGGCTGATCTGTTTTTATTGGCTCTGAATGTCCAATAAAAATATGCCTCATATCCTTTCTTCTTACCTCTAACTCAACTATGTATATTACTGTAAGCGCAATATTTAGTATCAAAGGAAATGGAAAAGTGAGCAGGAAATGATGCGTCACACTGTGGCTATGAAACAGGCATAATGGTGAATATCTCGTCCCCTCCTACAGTCAAGACCCGGGCGATAATATTGCACTTGTCCCACAATTTAATATTCAAGGGTTCAAAGCTGTACATTAACTCCAGAGTTTAAACTGATTAAGCCGCCTGTGTGAGGGCACCAATCAGAAAAGGGGATTTATTTTCTAACCTCGCTAACACTGGCAGGGTCACATATTGCCCTCATCATCACCATCTGTTCAGAGGTCACTGCAGTCTTTAGCTCCAAACACACTCCCTCCTGCAGCAGTGAGGATGCTGGTTAGATTAACAAGAAGAAATTATCCATACAAATATGTGTTTTTTAAACCTTCCATAAAGACAGGAAGTTAGTAGCAGTGACTATCCAGTGTCGATTCATTAGACACACACACACTCAACACAAGAGCTTTCCGGTGTTGTTAATAAATGACCAGCTGGGCCGGTGAGGCTACATTCCTGAAACACTGACTCACCACTGTGTGTGTGTGTGTGTGTGTGTGTGTGTGTGTGTGTGTGTGTGTGTGCGCGCTA